AAGGGGAAGCACTTTCTTCAGCAGGTTTCCAATTTTAAAGACTTTACATCAATTTTCAGTTCACACAGTATGGTCCTTATAAGTAAGGGAACATATCACTTCCCAAAGTGATTATATCTTATTGGACTTGTGAGCCAGAGCAGCAAAACGTCAGTTTAAGCCCTTTTCCTTGACGTGTCTGTCAAAATCTTTCCACCTCTGCAGCAGTGTGGCAGGCAGACGAAATGAAGAGCTGTTTACTGGTGCTTGCAGCTGCTGCCATACCTGATCAAAGAGGTGTGAGTGAAAGAGGTTATTTTAAAATGTAGTTTTATTTTGTTGATGTCTTTTTGTCATTTTCTGAGCAGAATATCTTGAAAGTAGAATGCAGCTGTTCTCCTGAAATGGGCTTTTATGTTCTTCTAGATGTCTTTTGGACTTGGCTACATCACAGACTCACTCCACAGTCAGGACTGGAGCCAGAGTTATTTATTGGTGTTGCTAGTCAGGACCAATGCACAGACAGCTTTTTGGACACTGGTGTTAAGCTGGTGCCTCTGTGGCTGTACTGGGTAATATAACAGAAGCTTAAGGAAGCCCTGGTCCTTGGTGCGTTTAGCCCGTGTGGATGGTGCCTGGTGGGTGCCCTTAGTGCAGCACCAAGTGCCCTGGGCTGACACATTGTGTAGCCTGCAGCCACATCTCACTGGCTGGGAGGTACTGTGAGTAGCAGGAGGTGAGTGAATGCTTTTGTTCTGAAGCAGAATAGGTCCACACTAAGCCATTTTGGCATAAACTTGTTTCCCAAAAAGTTCAAGGTGATTTACGTGAGAGGGGAGACTGAAGCACATGAGAGCGGCTTGAAGTATTTTTTTTTTTTTTTCTCTGAGCAAAATCATGAGCACTTAATATTTTGGGAAGTCTCTGTGGAAATTTGAAGATCAGATTTGTATTTCAGCACTGCTGATGATTCACATTTGACTCAGTAACAAATTCTAAAAAACCCTCTGTCTTTATGAAATGAAATTCATGTTCAAGGCTTATGCTTTGCTTGTTTATGGGCTTTTAAGCTGAATCTTGCAGTCAGATCCGATCTGGGGATAAGTTTTCCTTCAGTATGAATGTCAAAGAATTAAAGTACTGTACTGGTTTAGTTGTAAACAAAGGGCATGAAGTCAAGCATCATCATTTAGGAGGAAGCAGGAAATAGGTGCTTTTTTCCTTCTTTTCTTTTTGTTTTATTTTGGTCATATTGACTCTTGTGGTCACTGGAGCTTGGTGTCCTGCAGCAGGAAAAAAGAATCAATTCCTCTCTTACCCAGAATCAGGAAGATCCAATTTTGGCATTGTAATCATTGATGTTTTGGCAGAGATTGTTGTTTCGCTTTAATATGGAACCCTGAGAATTTTAAAGTCAGTCGTAACCATTGCAAAGGAAATAAGAAGCAACATCCAGATGCAAAACGGAGTCTGCTTGAACCTCTAAAAAATGTTGTTGTTTGTGAGGCAGGTGCTATGCTGTCTGTTGATGAGGTTTTCATGACACTTCTAATTCTTGTTCACTGTGCACACTGTAATTCGCTGGCTCCAGATGTTACAAAATGGTTATGTTGTGGATATTAGTAATATCAGAGCGCTTGAAGCACAGAAATCAAGAACTAATTAAAAAGAGAGCATCATCAGCCATCTGCTATTTATCTCCTCCTTCCGAAGGCAGCAGTCGGGCTGGAGGAAACACCGAAATCAGCTCCTCTTCCAGCAGCTAATGAACTGGAGTGTGTCTTGCCAAACAAACTTCAACTGCAAAATAATAATTTATTAAGAAGGTAATTTATTTGCTGCGGCAGCTGGAGCAAGATGCTTGAAACAGACACCCCTGTTGGAGCTGTCAGAGGATTGCCCCTGGGAGCAGCTGCACAAATGAAGGTTGCTAATAAGAAAACGGAATGCAATCATGACTTTCTACTTGTATCCCCCAGGGTCAAATCCCACATAAAGCAACATTGTGTGAATAAAGATTTTAATAAAGCAACGCTGATGGATTGTTTAAGTTTCTCTCCATGCCTTCCCCCTCTCCCCATTTCCTACATTTGCTGGATTGAACGTTTGAATCGTTTTGCTACTGGTGTTTCCCAGTTATTCCTTCACTGATGCTTACCGATGGCATTTGTTCCAGGGATGTATTTATTTTCAAGAACGGGATCAAATGCGCAGCTTGGTTGCGAGAGCTTTGCTGGTAAGGCAGGATGTGTTCAAGAAGAGTGTACCAAAGTGATGCTAACAAAACACAGCCAGGCTTAAATGGTCTCCAGAGAGCAAATCTATTTGGCTTTGTAGTGTGCATCCCAGGGCCCTGCATCTGCCAAACACCTAGGCCGATTTCTTGCTTGTGTCCCAGTAGGCTGGCTCGTTGTACGGTGTATTCACTTGGCAAAAGGTATGTATATAAATTGGCAAGTGTTTGTGGTTGGCTTTTCTAAGCTTTTATTGAAGCCTTGTTATGAGACACGGCAAATAAACAGCCATCAAAGACCTGTTCCCACAGAGCATGGAGATCTCATCTTGCTGGATCGGAGCTTGTTTTTGCAATAACCTGCTGCACTGAGCTTTTCAGAGGTCAAGGTGACTCTCGCAGCTCTGAACGTCAGGCATCTGGAAGCAAAGGAAGCCGCTGGTTGCTGCTGTGGCCTTGAGATGACTTCGGGACGAGCTGCCGGCCTCGTGTGGCTCTGGGGACCGGCACACCATGAAACCACCGAGTCACCGTGCTCATGGAAATGTGGGAACGCTCTGACCTGGCCTGCACCATCAGAATGGTGTCAGTACGTGGCCAGGAGCTCTGTTTTTTCTTAAACTGATTTCTCTGTTGGAAGCACCCTGCTGCGTAACAGGGTGAGAGTTTATGTAACCATAAAGTTTGAAATGTTTCTGATTATAAAATGAACATAGCTTTACAGAAGAATACACAGAAACAACTTCAAGCCAGTGGAAAAGAACATGGTTTTGAAAACCAGCTCTCTTCCTGAATTTCCTTCAGATTCTTTCCCTACAATTTTTTGATTCTAAAAAGTAGAAAGGAAAAGAAGTTTGTGGCACGTGTGGCACTAGTGCTCTGTTTTTTCTTTGCAGCCTCAATATTTTTAGGAGACTGGGGGTAGAACTTGGTGGGAGAAAAAGAGAGAGAGAGATCCCCCAATCTCCTTTATTCCACATCTTTATTTTATTTGCTGATCTAATCCTTGTCTGCATTATGCTGAGCTGCTGGAGAGGCTCTCCTCCTGCTGCCTTCTGTCAGAGTTCATCTGTGGAAGCGTAGCAGGAATTACTGTGTGGAAACTGAGAAAAACCGTAAAAGGGTGGATGCACAGCGTTTCCCCGTTGAGCTGATACAGCTGTAGCTTAAAATCCCAGACTGCAAGGTGCCCTCTGTCTGCTTGTACCGAGTTGTCAGAGGTGCTGAATAAGCCAGGCATCTCCACATTTTTTGCAGTACTGATTTTTCTTTCTCTTTAGATGATACCTGCAGTCAGACCCAACCTGACCCGAGATCATGGATTTTTAATCAGATGGATGCTGTTCGCCAGGACTGCTCTGGAATAACTGTTACATTATGTCTGGGGCTGTGCAGCCCCCTGCAGCTTCCTGTGAGACTGCCAGCTGAAGACCAGCAAATACTATAGCAAGAGCTTGAGATTCAGCAGAGGAAGGAAAAAAAAAATAGAGATGTAGTCCCAGCAAGCTGCACTAGGGCACTGCCTGTCTGCTGTGCTTCCCAGCCTGTCCTTCCTAGCCAGGTATGAGTGAGTTCTTCCCTTGCAGAGCACCAGGGTCTCTTCCGCCCTTCTGCACCTTCCTATCTAGTCCTTGGGCATAATTTCTTGCCTGAGGTCCTGCAAAGGGGTTTGAATTATTAAGGATTCTGGATTTTTTTTATGTTACTTTTTTTTTCCTTCAGTTCCTTGTTAACCTCAGCCTGGTCATCAGGATGTAGTTGGCAGGTTACTGAAAAACGACTTTCATTTTCCTCTCTAGCTCTCGCAATGTGCTACACTTACGTGAGCTGACACCCCAGGAACTGTGCTGTAGCTCCCTGGAGCTGTTGTGGGACTGTCAGTCATTTCATCTTTCCGAATCTGCTTTTTCTTTTTTTTTTTCTTTGGAACATTGAAGCATCTGCTTTTTGTAGTAAAGACCAGCCCATTTGATCAGCTCTTTTCAGCTAAAACATTTATCCCAGGAGGGCAGGGCTTGAATGTCACAACTGTGATGTATTTTTTTCTCATAAATCCACATAAGGGCTTCAATTCAGATGCTTCCGATGGTTTTCAGAAAGATTGGTGGCAATTTCATTTTTCTGTAGCTGCAGTGCTTTTGGTTTTGGATGTTTTTTATGTGCACTGATTTTAGTTCTGGTTTAGTTGAATTACAGCAACTAGTGTTAAGGGTTTAGCCTCAAGGATTATTAAATTGGAGGGGGCAATTATGCTAATCAGTACGAGTATCTTATTCATGCAGATTTGCAATATTTATAGCCACCTGTAGATGGAGATCTGCTCCACTCCATGCCCTGGTGGTGCTGCAATCCTGCTCCCCATCCACCTGAATGAGTGAATTGCATTTAAGCGTCCACTTCATTTTTCTGAGCACTTGGGATAACCTTGAAAACTTTCCACGTTGGAAATAATGCGTCTCAGCTTTGTTTTGGTTAGGGTAAGTTGTGGGAGGACTTGTTCTGATGCTGGATAACTCGTGTAAGCAATAGTTTCTTACAGTAAGCCAGCAGTGGGTATACCTCGGGGTAAAATGCAAGATAAAAGGCACTTATCCACTTTTCGTCTCCCCCACACAGCTGAGTTTGTGTACTTGGCATGTCAGTGCTGACTAGTTTTCCTCCGGAGGGTTCAAGTGTGCCTTTCCTCTACTGCCTGCTTCCAAAATTTCAGCCAAGCTTTGCCTGGGATCCTTGCACCCTGCTAAAGCAAGAGCAGCCAGTCTTAGGGACTGCTCGCTGCTTCCCCATACAGAGGGGGTTTTACAGCTGTTTAGAGAAAAATTGGTTGGTGGTGGAGAGGTCAGTGGTGGTAACGAGTTGTACCACAGCTCTCCTACATGATTTTGTGGTGATTCTCTGCTGATCTGAACCATTTTCCTGCCTGTTTTCATGGAGTCCCCCCTGTCCCTGTTTATGTACTGGTGTACAGAGATGCGCTGATGTAAAAATCACCAGTGAAACTCTTTACTGTAGGTGAGGAATGTGACACAGCGCATCACAGCACGCCCATCCCAGAGTCAGCCACAAAATCTTTTCTCCTGGAGCTATGGCACAATTGCTAAACCGAACTCACACCCGAACAGCAAGCAAGTAACGCCCAGAGAGCTCATGGCAGCTCTGCGTGCTGCTGGTCTGACTCATCCCCGTCTCCTGCTCCCTTGTTTGTGCCAGTTATTTTTGTGTCCCCTTGGAAATGACCCTGATGAACAACCACCCATGCCTGTGTAACCAGCTGTCTTCCCAAAACAGCAAGCCCAGAGGCAGGTAGAGACCTTCCCAAAGTCCCCCCTCACATCTCTGTCAACGGGTGAGTGTTTTAGATTTGTGTTTCAGATTTGTGTGCGTTTCAGCTGCCACAAAAAGCAGTCCAACCCCCTAGCAGCACCCGAGCGCACTGCTGGAAAAATCCCACTCCTGGAAGCCAAACCCACCGCCCCGTCCTGCTTAAGTGCTCAGCAGCAACACCTCACCCGGGCCACGGGGCTCCCTAAAAGCGCTTATTGGGCACCCTTGGGTGCCTTCTGGGCAGAGGGAGGCAGGAGCCTGAGCTGGGACAATCCCAGGGGCTGGTTTTGCTGCGTGGCGCTGGGAGGAGGAGCCATTCCCAGCCCAGTGCCGTGCTGTAGGGACCGCGGTGCGGGGCAGGGGCCGTGGGGTGGTGTGGCTGGGCCCTGCGAGGTGTGGTGGTGCCGCCAGCCCGCGGCTTCCCCCAGCACGACTCCGTTTGCGGGCGGCCAGGAAGTGAGATCACGGCTCCAGCCGTTTGAGGCAGGACGGGATCCAGAGGGATCCAGCAGGGCAGGATCCCAGCGGGGCATCCACAGCCATGGGCCGGAGCAGGCTCCTGTCCCGCCTGGGGCTGGCTGCCTGCCTGCTGCTGCTGCTGGGGGGCTCCGAAAGCCTGGGGAGCCAAGAGAAGCAGCAGGGACCCTGGGAGGAGGACCGGAGAGCCGTGACGGAGGCGGCCCCGTGGGCCAGAGCGAGGTACGAAGCCGTGAAGAAGCACTTGGGAGCTGTGGGAGCTCTCTCCAAGCAGTACTGGCAGTACCTGGCTTGCAAGGTGTCGCAGGAGGGCTGTGAAGAGGAGGGGAAGAGGAAGGCCGGTCCCAGCCCAGGTAAGCTCCCTCCTCTCCCCTTCCTGTGCCCTGGGAACAGCAGTGGGACCGAACTGCTTCCCTGTGCCTGCGTGGGGGTCTGCACCCCCAGCTCCTGTGGCTGCTGCGGGGATGGGGCTCCCCCCATTGCTCGGCATGCAGCGGGTGCCACAAACACGTGTGTTGGGGCAGGGGGTGTGCTTGCAGATCGTGTGGCTCCGTGTCCCTGTCTGAGCCAGCTGCAGCCCATTATCCCCTGTGGGCCCCCACACCTGAGGCAGGGCAGTAGTTAACTGTGAGCACCTGAGCGCCCACACACAGCACAGGAAAGGCACCTGCTGGCACAGCTCTGCTCTGACCCCTGTCTTTCCAGGTTGGAGCTTGCCTCTGGTGGGCCAGGATTACCTGGAGATCTTCTCTGCGTGGTACTGCAGCTTCGGCAAGTGCTGCAAGACAGGAGACTGCAGGATAGTCAACAACATCACAGGTAGGTGCTGTGCTGCTTCTTGGGAGAGCTTAGGCTGGGCTTTTCTCTGCTTCTTTTCCCTGATGTCTCTGTTATGTGGTTGTTTTGTGTTTTTTTGTTTTTTTTTTCTAAAAAAGTGTGTTTTAGCAAGTGATGTAGCTAAAGGGCATTTCTGAGAGGGTGAGGGGCTGAGCTAAGCCCTGTTTCTCATTACTCATTTGCAGTTCTGAGACTGTGAGAAAGCCTGCTCCTTACAGTGCAGTGTATCTGCTCCAGTTTGCCACGAGCCCTGCCTTCAGCCGGCAGCTTCCCAGGCACAGCCTGGAATCTAGGCCGGCCCAGTATTCCCAGTATCCAGCCCTGGGGCAGGAGGGTGCCCTGAGAGCTGTGTGCGAGCCCTACACTGGTGTTATTCGTTTGCTGGCCCTGAGACCTGTGGTAGCCTTACCCTCTGCTGAGTAGTATGTAGAGCCCAGTAAATACTAAATAAAACCTTTAGGCCTCAGTGCTCTGCAGGCAGTCAAATACTCTGCTCAGTTTTCAAAGAAAAAAGTAGTCTGCAGAAGATCCGTGTCCTATATTTTTTTTTTTTTTTTTTTTTTTTTTTTTTTTTTTTTCAGTTCTTGGCTAACACAGGCAGTGCCCAGGCTTCTGTAAGCAGCCGGCCTCAGCCTTAATGCCTGGCCAGACACCTCCCAGGCAGGCAGCCCCACCAGCAGGGCTCTGGGGGCTTTTCTCCTCTTGCTGCCACCTGCAGCAGCAACTGGACTTGCAGATTAATGCTGAGCTCTTACTGTCTTTCCTGCAGGGCTCGAAATGGACCTCAACGGGCAGCTCCATGGGCAGCACCTGGCCAAAGAAGTTGTCATCCAGGCGGTGCGGCGCTTCCTGCAGAGCCCGCAACCAGAGAAGGCTCTGGTCCTCTCCTTCCATGGCTGGTCCGGCACAGGCAAGAACTTTGTGGCCCGGATGGTGGCCAGTCACCTGTACCGGGACGGGCTGAAGAGTGAGTGTGTCCGGGTGTTCATCGCGCTCTTCCACTTCCCCCATCACAAGTACGTGGACTCGTACAAGGTGAGAGCTAACAGCCTGGTGCCGCAGAGATGGTCTGGCTGGGACGGAGTTGTTTGTTTTCTCTTTCTCCCTAGCAGCTATACGCCACGTTGTATTTGGATTTATGAGTAAAACAGGGTTAAATAAGGGTGGTTTGAGCTGAGCAGTGTGTGCACAGCATTGAGGGTATCCCTTTTTCCCTACTCTGCTCCCTCAGTAGGTTGGGAGTGTGCAAGAAGCTGGGGGGGAGGTACAGCCAGGACAGCTGACCAGAGGGGTATTTTGTGTAGCACCAAGCTCAGCAGTAAAATCTGAGGGGAGCGGGCTTTGGGGTAGAGTAGGATGCCATTGCTCACAGACCAACCAGGCATCAGTTGTGAGAGGTGGTAAGTTGTCTTTGCATCGATCGGTTTGTTCTTTCTTCCCCTTCTTCACATATTTAGTTTAATCTCGACCCACACATTCTCTTGCTCTTCCCATTCTCTTTCCCTGTCCCTCTGGGCAGGAGGGAGCAAGCAAGTGGCCTTGGGGTGCAGCGGGGCTGGCCAGGACTGTCCCAGCACATCCAGGCTCAGCCCCTGTGCCATCGACTGCTGCCAGGCATTTCACTCTGCCGCCTGCTGCCCTGCAGGTTCAACTGGAGAAGCAGATAAGCGAGACTGTGCAGCTCTGCAAGCAGTCCCTCTTCATCTTTGATGAGGCAGAAAAACTTCATTTTGGACTCCTGGACACCATCAAGCCCTTCATGGCTCAAGATGGCAAGAAGGGCCAGGTGGATTACCGGAGGTCCATCTTCCTCTTCCTCAGGTAACTTCTGAGGCCCCAAACACATGGGGAGGGACAAAATGGTGGAGTTTATCCCCTACGGTGTGCAGTATGAGGGGACGGGTCTGCAGAGGAGGGAGAAGAGGTGACTGACTCCTCCAGTGAGTGGTTGTCTCCATGGTCAGTGTTCCCTGTTGATGCTGGGCATCCTCCCAGGGTATGGGGCAGTTGCAGAAGGAGCCAAGGCCCAGCTTAGCTGGGGCAGCTGAACTGGTGTCTGGGTCACGAGGCAAGGAAGCAGTGAGATTCAGTTATCCTGGTGTCATCCTGCACCCTGCTAAGCGGGGGGATCCTGTACTGCGGGGAACACAGCTGGGGCTGCAGCTCTTAGTGGGAAGTTGTGCAAGGCAGCACTTGTAGCTGGGAGCAGGGACGTGCCACTTGCCTGGCCCTGGCTGCAGACTGAGGTGCCACTAGCCTGTGAGGGCTGCTCCTGGCATCGGCTCATCCTGCAGCATGGGGAATGGAGGGTGGCTCCTTGCCCATCCGGAGGGAGACAGGTTGTCTGTCAGCATCTCCACGCTGCAGTGCTGTCCCTCAGCCAGGATTTGGTGGGACCGGACATCTACCACCAGCAGGACGTGAGGTGGGAAGGTGCCTGAACTAACCAGTGAGAAATGCCCAGGAGAGACAAACATCTTCAGTCCCCCTTCATTTTGGTTTGTGGCTTTCAGCCTTGTTCTGGCAAGAGCTGTTCCCACAGGCTGGAGGTGAGCAGTTCCATGTTCAAAACCGTGTTCAGTTCCAGAACCATGTTCAGTTCCAAAACCGTGCTCAGTGGTCCAAAGGGGATTTGTTACCTGTTTGCTATCCAACCTCCGCGCTCTAACCTCCAAGCGTGGTGGTTCCCCAGGACAGCTTCTCTGCTCACGAAGACCCGTCTGTGCCTGGTGCCTGCAGAGCTGACCGGGTCTGTCCTACCCGTGGGCCTCTGGCGGGTCCGTGGTGCAGGAGGCAGCTTCTCCCTCCTTGCTCTTCCTTCCCACCTGCTCTGGGCAGGGTGCACGTGCTGCTGGCCGGGCTGAGCTGCCCTCTTGCCCTACCTGGCAAGCTGTGCGGGCGTGAGGACAGCAGGACACTGGGCCAAGGCCCCACATCACCGAGCAGAGGGAGCAGGGTGTCTTGAACTGCAGCACTGTGTAATCTGGGGGGTTTCATCATACACAGTGGCAGGGTGACATCGGCCTGGCACAGGAGGGCTGGCTGTCCCCCAGCACTCGTTGGGGCACTGCCCTGGGCCTGCGGCTGTGGCCAAGTTTGGGCGATGGGGACCAGAGGGAACTGGTCACCCTCAGCCCTCAGGGCACTTCTCCTGCGGGCCAGGGGGGAGCAGGGGCAGGCGAGCTGTGCTGGCAAGGCGGCACGGGGAGGTGGTGGCAGCTTTTTTGTTCTGCTGCCCTGGGAGCCTCGATGGCTGGCAGGACCCTGTGTCCCCCAGCAGGCAGCCGCACCTGAGGGTGGTGAGGGTTTGTCCCTCAGGCAGGGGATGTCCCAGTCCCGGACCTTTACTGGTAGTGGGACTCCTGCCATGTGCTCTGCCCCCTGGCCTGGACTTTGCAGTGACTTGGTGAGGGTTTGGTGTGGAGCCAAGCGGCACTTGAGAGGCCAGGACAGGGATGGGGGTTCTGCTGACTGCCAGTCCCACCCTGCGGGAGAAAGCAGCTGCCACGGGGGCTGGGCTGGCAAAATGGAAGGCAGGTGCCTACAGAGAGGGCTTTTTTGGGAAGAAATTCCTCCGTCTGCGAGTGTTTCAGATATTGATCCCACACAGAGAATCCCATCATGGACAGAATTGCTGAGACCTGTCTGTAGGGGGTGCTGCTGGCACCTCTGAGCGCTTTCTCTGTGGTGGCATGGTGGAGTGAGTGACTTCTTCTGTCCACAGCAATATTGGGGGCAACACCATCAATGAGGTAGCCCTGGACTTCTGGCGGGCCGGTCGGGCGCGGGAGGAGATCTCCTTGGAGCTCCTGGAGCAGCGGCTGCGGCTGGAGCTGCTGCAGCCCGCAGGTAGGAGCCCGGCTCGCTGCGAGCAGGCCACAAACCTGCCCCTCCACCCTGCCCTGGGGCCTCGCTTATGAGGTGCCGTGTGCCTTGTGCTGTACGAACATCTGTGCCATGGAACAAGCATTTATGTGCCCCTCACACCCTGCTGTGTTCCCCTTCCTTCATCCATGTGGCCCCAAGCGTGGCACTGCTGCAGCAGTGAGGCCCGCAGAAAAGGAGCTGTTGGTTGTTCTGCCCCCTTCAGCCCTGAAAATAGCAGGGTTGTAACAAGCAGCCTCGTGCCTCAGTGAATTCGGGCTTCCCTTGGCCTGCAGTCAGGCTACGTGCTGGGCAGCTCTGCGGGTGCAGGGGTGGCTGCCTCCACACCACAACAGCTGGCTGCAGTGAGAGAGGACAGACCTCAGCTCAGAGGGGTGCCCGCTCCCAGGTGGCTGAAGCTTTTGTCTTGCTTTTTGCTGCAGAGAACAGCTACGCCCGCAGCCACCTGCTTGAAGAGAACCTCATCGATTTCTTTGTGCCGTTCCTGCCCCTGGAGTACCACCACGTGAAGCTCTGCGCACGGGACGCCTTCCTGGCCCGTGGCCTGCCGTACACGGAGGCAGCCCTCGACGAGGTGGCCAGGACGATGGTGTTTGTCCCCAAAGAGGAGAAGCTTTTCTCTGCACAGGGCTGTAAATCTGTATCCCAGCGCATCAATTACTTCCTTCCTTGAACACCAGGTGGGACTATACCGGTGGTGAAGGCGGTTTTGCACACTAGGAGCTGCTCTCCTTGCACAAGGTCAGGCAAGCAGCAGGTTACCCAGCCAAACACTTGCACAGGGGCAGAGACTTAACTCCTCGTTGCTCTGAGGGCTGTCGGCAGGGTGGGCTGTGCACCCTGCCCAGCCTTACTCATGGGGTACCGGCACAGCTTGTGCTTGGCTGTGTTTGAAGTCCCTCTGGTATTTTTTTAAGTTCCTTCTTTTAGCCTGATGTAGCGATTTAGTTGTGCTGACAGACTTTGTTTCATGTGAAAGGGGTTGTCTTTGGTTTGTCATCTTGTGATGAGGGCTTCGAACAGCCTGGGCCTGTTGAGAGTCCAGCAGAAGCCACAGCCTCTTCCCTAGCTGCAGCTTTGTCACTCTGCAAGCTCTCAGACTGGGTAGAATGTGTTTGCTGCTTTTGAGGGTTTTTCTGTATTGCTCTCCTGCATTCACAAGGTGTGTGGCACTTGGGGACGTGTACCAGGATCATGGTTTGGGCAGGGACGCCTTTGCATAGAATGACTGAGAGTCTCTGGCACTGTAAAACCCACAGCCTGCGGCGTTGGCCTGCCCAGTCCCTCTCTCCCCTCTCTTGGAGTACTTTCGTTCTACGGAAGCAGCTGTGGGGGTGAGGTGAGCTGCTGCTGAAATTGTTTCTTTAACAATTTGGTAAAGAGCCAGATTGGTTCACTGCAGAAACTGGTTTAGGACAAGACAATCTCCCATTTCATGGGCAAAGGGCAGCTGAGGTGGATGGTGGCTGAAAGAACAGGTTGCGGTTGAATTCTGTTCTTTCAGAGATGGATTAAGATTATTTTTTTTCTTTTTTCCCCCGGTATGCATGCTGCAGCTTTTGGCTGGTATCAGCATTACTACACCGAGGGGCTGTTTGCTGTCTGGGTACTTGCCAGGTGATAAGTACCTAACAGCAGGACCAAAAAATTTCAACAGTGTTACGGGAATCACTCTGTGACCTCTGGGTCAAAACTCCCTTCCAACACAGCTGTGCTCGGCAGTGAGGTGAATCAGCACATGCCAAGGACGGGCTTTAGCTGCCTGAATGCCACATGTGCAGACCTTTGAGCTATTTTCAGCTTTGACCCTTTCTGTCGTGCCAGCAATGAGCAGCACAACCCTGGGAAAAGATTGACCAGACACACTTACTGCTCCCACAGACTTTGAGTCCGCGTTTCCCTCCGGGCAGGCCGGCGCTGTTACCTAACAAGGACTCAAAGCCTGAGGTAGGAGGATGAGGATTCGTAGCCTGAGGCAGGCAGACGAGCTGGCTGCTGTCTCACCCCTTGCTCCTCTGTGCAAAGTTGGTTTAAACCGGGCTGTTGACTCTAGGCTGGACCCTTAGGGCCTGTGCTAGTGTCTGTTTTTTATCAGGTGTTTCTGGGACTTGCTCTGTGGGCACTTGTGTTGCCACGTGTCAGTCCTGAAGCACCAACAGCCAGAGGAGCTGTGCCTGGGGAAGGTGAGCTGGTGGAGGGAGGCTGCGGCCCCCTGCAGGGCACAACTCAGGCTCTAAGTTGTTGGGGGGAAGGAAGTCACTTTATTGAGTTTTTTGCCAGTGCTGGCAGGTCTGAAGTCAGCACGTTGTGCAGTTCTGTTACTGAGTAAGGAGGGGGTGGTGCCACCAGCGAGGGCACCTCTCAAACTGATGCTGCAGGACCAGCTCACGCCAGGTCACACGCGCGCGTTTGAGAACTAAGCGAGAACCACTCTCCTCTGACTGCTCCATGACACGCTCAGATCAATGTGAATGTTTTCCTTTGCAACCTGGCAGAATTATATTACGTCCCTTTCTAACAGGTTTGCAGCCAGCTTGTCTTTTCTACCCAAAAAACAGCCTTCAGGCTACCACTCTGCGGGTTTAAATATTCTTTTTAAAAAATAAAGCATCATCTAGTCAAGTGGTTTTTTTGCCAATAAAATATTGCAACCTTTATTTAAAACAAAATGCAAATTGGCAAAACTTTGTGGAACGACAGGCAAAGAGGCCCTTCAGAAGGCCTTATTTACATCAAGTTTAACACTGTTCGCAGTTCACAGTCAGACGATAGTGAGAGAATTAAATTAGAAAAACAACCAAAATATATTACAATAACAATTAAAAACAAAAACAGTTGACAACACTGGTAGAGTGATTGGTGATTAACGTGTTTCATCTTAATCCATTCCTGCCCTCAGTGAGTTCACTACTGACACAAACAGCATGCCAAGCTGAGCGGGCTCTACCCCCTGCACACAACGGAGACATTTGGAAGCGTGACCTCCTTTGGTACAGACATTTCTCTTTTCTAGACACTGCAGCTAAGTCCAGGTGCCCCCGAACCTGTTACTTCCTCCCCCCAGGGAACAGGCTCAAGGCCTTGGTCTATGCTACAGGCGACCGGAGTGCACCCCGGTGCCCACCCATGCAAAACACCCATGTGCAGGAGCTGCTGGATAGTGCTGCTTGCGCTGACACGGGAGGTTTCCGAGCACACTGCAGCTGCTGCCCCTCAGTTTCTGGCAGCTCCTGGTGAACAGCAGGCCTGGACCAAGGGTTTTAAAGGAGAAGGTAGTGCTCTGTTACACCTGCAGACAACAGCTTCCCAAGTGTTGGTGTTTGTCCCAGCTGCTGCTGCCCAGGAGCACCAATGAGCGAAAGGCTGAGCTGCATGGGGTCCTGCCTTGGGTATGCAGCACAGGCACCAGCCTCGGGTTTCCTCAGAGGCCCCAGCCCAGCCCATCGTGCTGCTCAGGCACCCTCTGCCTGGTGGGGAGGGCCTGCTCTGGTAACAGCAGGTTTGGAGCAGCTCTTGCCCCATGCTGAGGGGTTTTGTTCCTGCTGCCCGCAGAGAGCAGTGTGCCATAAAACTCCAGGGTAAGTACCCCCAGTTGGGATGCCAACGTGCAGCTGTTAGGGTCACACGGACACAAAGCAGTGTTAGAGGTGTCCTGTGGGAGGAGGCCAGGAGCAGGCAGACCCTCACCTTCCCCACCATGTTCAGCGCCAGGTATGCTACTGTGTTCAGCTCCGCTTTCCCAGCTGCTGAGTTTGATGCAGTTCCAAGCTCAAAGCTCTTAATTCAGCTTCACCCCTGCCAGCACTAATGAACAGTACAATTAACCCTCAGTGCTGCCAGCCAGGTGCTCGCTTTTCAGGTGCAGTGCAGGGGGAGAACTGCGCCTCTGAGTCAGCCAATTCCCCGGGAGCTAGGAAGGGAAAGTGCCCCGCGAGCGCATGCTTTGTGCTCGCCGTTACCAGGCCCTATGTGATCCCATCCCCTGCTGCAAAGGAGACTACTTTAAATTCTAGTCCATACTAGTGCAAGTTAATTAGAGAGCCTGGCTGTGATTGCATCTTTACCACACGAGGCCTTCTCACAGTGGTGAAGAAAGGAAACGCAACAGGAGTTTCTGCTTTCTCCATAAACAGCAGAGCAAGAGGTGCTCTGTGCTGGAGCACTAACAGGGCTTCACTGTCCCTCCGGTGCTTTACACACACACTGCAACGGCGAACGCAGAGAAGCTGCTACAGTGGAGCCCTTCAAGGCTGAACACAAAGTCAAATCTAGCAGAGGGAAGAGGACCTGCAACAACGTGGAAGGAAGAAAGACTGAATGAGAGCTACAGCATAATCAGGCTTTTCCAGGTAGCGTCCTTTTGCTGTCCTTCCAGAGGGTGAGGGGAAATTCTCATTTGGGAATAAAACAAGATTGGGCGGGAGAGGCAGTGGAGGTAGAGGCAAGTCTGCAGTCTCTTATTTAGGAGAAAATAAAATTAGTGTCAAGTCAGCAGTACCTCTGTCACCATCCACCTATCTGATGACTATGACAATCAGCTACAGCACAAAAAATGCTCCCTGTAGGAGTGATGACCGGCAAATCCCCCCAGTTCCACTGTTAGGTGTTTTACCTCCACTGAAGGGACCAGAACTGGATGGGCTTCTGTGTTGCTCCAAGTGGCTGAGGAGTCCCTGGGGAGCTTCGGAGGCTGCCTGGCACTGTCCTGGGCAGCCTGCTCTGGGTGGCCTGAGCAGAGGTTGGAGCAGATGGGCCCCAGCGGTCCCTGCCAGCCTCAAGCGGTCTGGGAGTCTCTAAAAGCAGGTGGCTTCTTCGGCTTGTAGTAGTAACACAGCCTCAGCCCTGTCCCACTACTACCACCCTGGGGGGGGGGTGGGGGTCAGAAACCAGGCAGCATCTGGAGAGAAAGCATGGATAACCAGGGGAGGGGAACCAGTCCTCTGCTGGGGCACAATTAGTTGCTTTAAAAGAGTAAGAAAGCTTGAAAGATCTGTTCTAATAACTAGAAATGCCAAGAATTGTTTGCTATTTTATCACTTTTGCTGGAGTCATTCTGGAAGACTGGTGTTTAAAAAAAAAAAAAGCTTCTTTCAAAACACTCATCAGAACTGACTAATATTCATATACTTTTCTGGTTAAAATACCTTTCCCCTGAGAGTAACCACTTCAGTTTCAGTCTGTTTGTACTAGGCTGGGAAGTAGTACAATGATGAAACCACACGATTGTCTGCCAAGGCAAACACAACCTGCCTCCCTTGATTGTTTAAAAGGCAACATGAAGCAACACCATCAGACTTCTTCCCTTTGCAGGTGACCTTTCCAAAGGCAGTTAGCTTGGTGTGCAGTGATGCCCAGGTTCAGTAAAGATGACTGAAAGAGATAAGGTAAACCACAAAAGCCCTCAGTAAAGTCTGAAAGATAACGGTTTGGTACTCTGCCTTGCTGCTGAGTGTCACGGTGGAAGAAGCCTGGTGCAGCCTCCTCCTGCCCCGCTGACGTGCGGGCTGGAGCGTAAGGACCAGAGGAGATCCTGGACAAGCTGAAAATCCTACTGCAGGAGGAGACAGCCGGCTTCATCAGGTAGGCTGGTGTACAGTGTGGGTTAGTCAGCCTGACTTTCCTTTGTTGTCACTTGGGTACCAGCTCACTGACCCGTAGGAACAACTGCTTCACTTTAATGCCTGTCACTTAAGGTGGAGGGTTTTGGTTTGTGTTGTGGTTTTTTCCCCTCACCATTTCACTCACTCTGACAGTGAAGCTCACACGGTCCATTTTACCTCACATTCTGCTCCACTGGTGTGCATTCACACGTCGTGCCACACACCTCTGTTTACCACAGACCAGTAATAGAGTGAGGATTCTCAGACACCAGCACCTTTCTAAAGGCTTTTCAGGCCACTGTCTCACCGTGCTCCATGGAAAACGAACAGGGATGTGGGCTGAGACGGCCCAGCCTACTTCCGAGCACCAGCAGGGCATCGCTTCTAGACAGAACTGGAGTGCCAACTGTCTATGGTCACACCTGGGCCCCAGCTCAATTCTAAATGCTCAAACTAAAAGCAGCACAGTCACACTTTAAAAACAAGTTTAAAAAAAAGCATTTTAGCAAAAAAAAAAAAAAAAAAAAAAAATTAAGGTGCAAAGCAAGCCAGATCCTCTATCATCACAAATAGTGTGAAGTGAGCAGCAGCATGCAGGGTAACGGGTACTGGAGACAGGTATCAGGCCTGTTTGCGTCCTCTCAAACCAACAACTAGTTGAGGTCCTCCTACTTGCCAGTACACTTCGATCTCAGGGAGCTGTGCGCACGCAGCCAGCTTTCTGAGGCCCCCAGCAGTCCACAGCCAGCACTAGGAGCAGGGAAGCCAACCAACCACACGATTGCTTTCATTCTGGGATTGTCAGTAGGCAACAAACAGCAGGGACCATAACCCAGTGGAGCGGTAACACCTTCTGTCACGTTTCAGGCAGAGTGCACAGTTTATGTGCGTGTTCCTGCTCCACAGCATGAGATCCTGGTCCAGTCTTTAAAACACATAAACCAATTTTAAAAGATGGCCGTGACTCACATGTTGGCATACATAGTCACCTCCATGCCAAGGGAAGGTGGAAGCCTGCAGGCCTAGTAAGCAACAGGAAGCACCAACCCCAGAAATCTGGGTGAGGTGGCTGTGCTACGGCGGGAGGTGCAGGGTGGGTGGCAGGCAGACCCGCTGCTCCTGCCTCTGGCTGCACAGCACTGGCTGCTGGAGGAGAGCAGAGACCAGCCAGGGGCTGCTGGGGCAGAGGCTTTGCCTCACCTACCACAGGGCCTCAAGGTGCTGAAACTAAACTGGGGCATCAACCTGGTAACGAGTTAAAAACAATTTAAAGCTTAAAAAAAAAAACAACCAACCCGCCCCGTCCCAATAACAACACTGGCAAGTTGTGCAAGAGCCCCAAACTACTCACACACGACTATCAAGCGGCACCCATGCTAGACCACTAGAAATAGGAATCAACTGAGTGAAGGTGGGGTGGGGGTAACTCCAGTGGTAAGTCTGCCCAGCACTCCTGACGTTCAGCTACAACGAAGACACAAACGTGGTGGATGAGGTGGACAGGAGGGAAAAGGGATAGGTTCATATATTAACTAGTTTTGCAGTTCTCGTTACAGCAGCAAACAGCACTGTGGCAGTACGCCACTGGGGCTAGTGCATCCACCTGCAGCAGCTCTGAATACTGTCAGTGCATCAGACCTTGCCCCAGCTGCACGCACCCTCCTGCAGAGCTGCTCAGCCCCTGGCACCACCAGCACCCCTGCGCCTTTCTGCGCGGTGTCGGGGGCCGCAGCATGCAGTAGTGCAGATGGGGCAAATTCTGCAGCCACTGCAGTACTCCAGCCACCAGCCCCAAACCGTCCTTCCCAGGCAGAACCTGCCGTCGGTTCTCCTGCCTCTCAACAGGAGGAGCAAGGATCCTCCTTTCCTCGCCACACCAAGCAGACTAGACTGACTAGGTAGGGACAAACACCTGCTGTTCTGCCCCTTACAGCTTTAATCTACCCTCTCCATCCCCATTTTCTGAGATGAACCTGTAAACGTGAGGAGAACTCAGTGATCTGAGGTACTTCACATACTCAAGTATCAGTCTTTCCTTTTGAAAGCATCAGTACAGAAAAAAGTCCCCCCCTCCCCATGTGTACGTCTCTTACCCAGACTGACAGTAGCTACCTTTGCACCACATCGCTGATTTCTTGGACACACGACAATAAGTTATTAAGGACGGGGTTTGCCCCAGGGACACTAGCAGCTGTTGAGGACACCTGCAGTTCCTGCAGGCTGAGTTCCAGTTTGCTCACGGCTTCCCGGAAGGCAAATTTGTTGCGTGTATGTGGGATGCAGTCCACGTAGCCTGAGCAGTAATCCAACAGCTGATGCCCTGTGTCCACCAGCTGGCTGTTTGGTGTTGGCTCAGCGATGGCACTCGAGAGGAGGTCTGCGCACTCCAGCAGCGCTTCCTTGCTGATTTTGTCTGCTGGGATTTTCTCGGCCGCCTGTTTGGTCTTTCTTAGTGCTACTTTTGTGCCAGCCGTGCCGTTGGCCATTTTCACTGGGGAGGTGGAAGACGATGACAGAGGCACTTGAGGTGGAGGCATCACAGGCCTCCCGGATTTTCCACCAACAGGTGCTGCTGCTGCTGCCTTCTTACTCCCTTCGCTTGATTCCAGTCCGTGCTGCGCTCCCGCCCCGTTGCTCAGCTCTTCTGCTGCATCTGCGCAAGCAGCTGGCTGTTGGAGGAGCCTCATCACCGGTGGTGGAGGTGGAGCACACTTTGGTTTTACCCGTCTGGGCCGGTCCCTGTCGCCGGAAGAAGTGACCTGATGCTCAGATAAGAGCTTAAATTTATTACCCTGAGAGTCTGTGCCAATGAGCTGCACGTCTGCTGGAGTGTGTTTTAGAGTGGGTGAGATTAGGACTGGCACTTTGTGGTTATGAGTGGTTGGAAGTATTGCTGCAGCCTTGACTGGAGAGGACCACCCCGGTCTCTCGCCATCTTCAAGGGCCCCTTGCCTTGGGCCACTGTTTTTTTCTTTGCTCTTAGGAGCTGCTGCTAGCCCTGGGCTCTCCTTTTCTTCCAAACCTGAGGGGGTTCGGAAAGGGAGGGCTGTGGCACCCCGTGGCAAGAGTTTTGCTTTTGGTCTTTCTCTGGTCAAAGCAGGGCCTTCTTCCAGCTTTTTGGGAAGCAGGTCGGTGGCCCTCCCCATGCTCTCATCAGGCTGAGAGGAGGTGGACACTGTCCGTTCCAGCTGAATTTTTGACCTCTGGGAATTTCTGGGAAGGGTCATTGCCATCCTATCCTGCTCTGGAAGCCCTGAGGACATGGAAGATGTGGAGTTTGACCTTGGAAAAGGCTTTGAAGTTTCTTCACTGCCGGTAGGTTTTCCTGGTCGTAAACCCAGTGTCTTTTTAATCAACCGTGGTGTAAAGAAACCTGTGATGCCTGACCACCCACCACCAGTGCTTATGCCCCCACCACTGCTGGTACCAGTGCCATCGTCGTTGTAGAAGGTCCTCTGCGCAAAGGCCCCACCGTAGCACTTGGGTGGTGCCACGCTCGCGTCCTGCTGCGTGGGAGCAAAAGCGAACCCATCCACGTGCTGCAAGGAAGCAACAGATGAGAAGTTACCCGTTAGCTCGTATTTCTTGTGGGGCTGATTCTCCATCTCCCGGAAGGAACTGCTGCGCTTGGGAGGTGTGGGAGCATTCCTCTTCTTCATGAAGGAGCTGAAGAAGCCGCCTTTTCTGTCCCTGGTGAAAGTGGTCTCTTTGGCATCCTCCAACAGGCTGCTGGGTGACTTGTCCCTCTGCTTGCGAGGCAGTGCGGGAGACCCACTTGTCGGCTGTGTGCTTCTGATAAAACCTAGACAGAAGAAACAAGCGTGACTCTTCAAAATCTATTTCCATTTCCACCCCCCTGTCCTGCAGTGGGCTGTAAAGGCCTGGCAGACAGTTGCCTGGGATCTGCAGAGACAGACTGCGAGAGGAAGTTAGCACTTTTATTTTTGTGCAAGGCTGATCTGCTTTTGATTTTATTCATTCCGTTCTGCTTGCATGACTTGTCTGTTGTCTACACTGGGGAAACTACTTAGGAGAGACGTTAAGAGAAAGTGAATTGGCTCTTTCTCCCCAGTTTCTTACCCATTTCCTGTAGTTTTTTCTCCTTCCCAAATATAAAGCAAGTATAAAAGACAATCTCTTGTTGCATTGTCAAGTTTACTTTGGAAGCTGTCATCTTAAAAATACAGCAAATCCAAACTTAAAAGAAAAGAATACAATGGGTTTACCAGAGAACCACTGAAAAAGCTGCAGCATTTTCTATTTGCTTGCAAAGGAGTGGGCTGGCAAACAGCCCTAATGACACAGCTTGCTCAAGGCACAAGCCTGCAATATGTTGGTTCAAGATTTTGGTTCTTTGCTCTACAACCTGAGAGCAGAACAGAGAAGTCTGAATTGTGCCTGTACAGATGTGGGCTCATCTTAGCTCTCAAGAGTAGTCTCTGCCTTCTCTAGAATGAGAAGTGACACCTGTACTGTGACAAGAGCTCCCACTCTGTGCTACCAAAGAACAAAGCCATGCTGATTTCCTCCCCAGGAGTCATCTTGTCTCTCAGCAAATCTTCCATTGTTCTGACCTCTCCACCTCTAATCCAGGAAGAGTGAATGCAGCCATGGGGTGTCCAGCCCTGCCTCTCCTACCACAGTACCACAGTAAATCCTGCTACAAACTGAAAAAAGCCAAAGCACTTGATCATCTTGACTGGAACATGAAATTTTACAAGCCGGGATACTGGGTTGCAGATCTCCAGCTGGTGGATGTTCTGTTCTCTCCTGTTCGGTACTTCACAACAGGAGCAAGTCTACCCACATGGCCTCAGTGCAACCGTCCTTGTGCTCATACCTGGTGCTGAGCTGGAAGTCGAATGCTCCAGAGTATCTTGTGTTCCTTCAATGTTCTCCTTGTTCTCTGCCTGTTTCTTCAGTGTTCTAGTCTTGGAGGGAAGCATGGGCAACCGGGGCAAGTAAGGAACTATGGAGGAGGAGGAGGCTGTTCTTCCAAGCTCCTCTGCTACCTCTGCAAGGGGAAAAAGCAAGCAGAATCGTTGGAACAAAGACCAGCAGAAGAGGAGGAAAAGCAAATACGGGTCTTTACTACAGACCCAGAGCAGCACGAAGAGATACGTGTTGGAGAGAGGAAGCAGTTTATAAACTTAGTTTTTTATTCCAGTCCAGAGATGTTTAGGGTAAGTGATGTTTTACATAATGACTTCAAACTCACATCTTTATAAATTCAGCCAGAAATGGTGGTAGGATCTGTACGAGCTCTATGCTGGGTTAAGGTGGCCCAAGAGCTAAAGGTCACGCTGGATACATTTACTTCTGTTTCTAATTAAGGTGCCTGGTGTTGATCCCCTCCAGGTTGAGTCCTCTCTGCATCTGTACCTAAGCTGCTTTGTCAGAAAGAAAGCACTGCACCTGCCTATTGGAAGTGAAGACTACATGTTTCCTTCCCAACATTAACACAAGGTATGTGATTTAAAAAAAAAAAAAAAAAAAAACAACCTCCTGGCTACCCCCAGGTTATCATTTGTGTAGGCTACTTGATGTGCCTATTATAGATCCTCCCTGGTAGAATTTCCCCTTGTGTGTTTTTTGGTAGCAAGGCAGTGGATGGATGGGCTTCATATTTAATTTCAAATTTGATATGTTCAGACAGTTCTGCTTGTCTGCTGCTTACTATCACACTTCTCAATTATATTTATCTCCTAGTTGACTAGATTTTAAAGTTTCATTGCAGATTCACTGCTAAAAGTAGCTAGGTAGAAAATGCAGAGGTTAAGGCAGATTTTATTTTTTTTAAATGAAAGCTGGTAGAATACTACTGCATGACCTAAATTCTGCAGTCAAAAATAGACTGTGATATGCATGCACCTTCTTCTCTCACTTACTATTCCTTTCTCTCTAGTCTGGGAAACAAGAGGCTTCCTCTAATAGAAGAGACAATATTCCTTAAATGAACTCTGTTATCTGGCTGCTCAAATTAATTAATATGCCATCTCTGTATTAAGTGTCTAAATGTTATTCAGTATTTGTGCAGAATGTAAGAGCATGTATTGACAGACTTATGGATAACAAAGGAAGTAAGGGATGAAGCCTCACTGCAGCCTCCAGAGCTAGGAGATGAGCATTAAGAGCCTGTGCATAAGAGCACTCCAGGGGATTAAGCACTTCTCCTGTTTCAGAAACCAAGTAACAGGGGCTCTCACCCTCCGAGATGCTCGAGTCGTGGAACATGGTTTCAAAGGCCTGGTGGGTCTCAGCAAAGGAAGGTCGGTCAGGCGGGTTCCACTTCCAACCTGCAGTGGGAGAGCACAGATTAAGGCTCAGTGCCTGCAGCAGGTAGGAGATGATTTTTTATTCTTTATTAATAGAGTTTACATTTGTTATGCAGCATCAGAGAGCTTTTTGTGGCAAATACTAAGCAACGCACTTGAAGGATGTATTTTGTGCAACCATGTCAACTCCTTGTCTCCTGCAGAGCCGTTATGTTTGTGGAAAACTCAATTTCTTTCTTTTTTGGGGATTCCATTGTAAGAGTCGTACTCTCAAAAGGACAGTACAATTTGCCACAAAATGCTATCCAGCTGTAATCAGAGATGAGTTTTTGAGAGTTCTCAAAACTCTCAAAAGAGATGAGAGTTCTCAAAAGAGACCAGACTCATTTTACATCAGTGACCAGGTACGTGTCAGGTGACAGGGACTTTTCCACGTTAGCTAACAAAACGGCACGTAAGAAGCAAGGATTTAGAGTTAACCACAGATTTCACCCATCCTTCCCAGGCTTTGTTCCCCAGACTGGAAGAAGATACTCACATGCCCTCATCAATTCGTAAACCTTTGGAGGGCACCCCTCCGGCTGTTCCATCCGATAGCCCTTTTCCAGCAGATCATACACCTGAGAGAGGTCAATGCCTGGGTACGGTGACATCCCATAGGTAGCAATTTCCCATAACAGCACCCCAAAGGCTGCAAAAGGAGAAAAACAAAATTCCTGGTCATAAGACTGCCCACCTCCTATGTTGCTTGTTATATTGTGGCCTTTACTGCAGTTTGAGGCAGACTCTCTTTGATGCAGATGCTTCAGGTCAGCCTAGGTAAAGACAGCACACGCTAAAAACCCTATTGATTTGTGAAGCTGTGGCCTGGCATGCGCCTCCCCATGTGTTTTTGCCCAGGCCAGAACACAATTTACTCTTTAGGCTAGCAAAGAAAAAAAAAGGAACACTGAAGGTGAGTTTTCTTACCCCACACATCTGATTTGATTGAGAAGGTGTTATAGGCCAAGCTCTCGGGAGCAGTCCACTTGATTGGGAACTTGGCTCCAGCATGAGCTGTATACGTATCTCCAGTCATAAGTCGACTTAAGCCAAAGTCGGCCACCTTCACCACATGATTTTCTCCAACTAAGCAGTTCCGTGCTGCCAAGTCCCTGTATAAAGAAAAGAAGCACACTCTTTTACTGGAACAAGAGCAGGGCTTTTGAATACAGTCCTGTACTAGCACAGCCTGCCCCCTGCTCCTGCAGGAGGAAGCACTCCCTTTACACAGCAGGTAAAGACAACATGAGCTCTGTTCTAAACAGTGTCAGACACTGAGCGCATGTATTCCTAGGAGCTGGAAGCTGGGATTAGGGCTCTTTCCAGTAAATTACCAGTAACGATAGCTGCTACAATGAGAGGTTTATGTTTCTGAAGACTAGGATGAGAGCAGCAGCTCATCACGCTGGTACCAGCTTCATGGCACTGCTTTATCCAACTGGATAGGTTGGCAGGGTCTGCCCAGAGCAGGGGCATTGGAACAGGACACCACCAACTTTCACAGCCATCAGGCACACGTGCACAAGATTGAAAGCCATGGGGCGGAGGTACTGCAAGACAGCATTAAAACCAAAACGCATGACCTACTGTAAAACAACTCTGCAAAAAATCTCCCCAAAAGCAAGAATTCCCAGGCCCTCACAGTGGTGGCCTGTCCACCATTACAATCTGAGTTTGTACCAGCTTAATGTGATTTCACCCACCTGTGAATGAAGTTCTTCTTCTCCAGGTACTCCATAGCAGAGGAGATCTGAGTGGCCATATAGAGTAACACAACAGCACTCACTTCCTCCCGGTTGCATTCCCGTAAATAGTCTAGTAGGTTCCCATATGGCATGTATTCTGTCACAATGTAAAAGGGTGGCTCCAGGGTACACACACCTGGCAGTGAGGAGAAAAGGGCTTGTGAATGAAGCTGCCATTGCTTCCCTAGCTTAGCGGTGGTCCCAATGTTATACCCATTCGTTGCATTTTGTACCAAGAATCGTTTCTCTGAAAATTGAAGACTTTCATCTACAAGACCTGGATCGATGCAGCCCAACTTAAAATTCAGTGCTTCTATCTATCTGGCCATCTACTTTCTGGATAGTGAGAAATGTGTCCATTAAAGCACCACTATTCCTATATAGTGTACATAAAGGATGTATACTATATATATAGAATATTACTACACACTGTTGTTTGGAGGGTTACAGAATGAAATAGGAGTTATTTTGAAGGCCTACGATTTGCTTTTCTTCCCCCCTCCTCTTTCTTAAAGCTAAACAGTGGCGAAGTGGAAGTGGGTACCTGTCAACTGGCCAGCTTTCCAGACTGAAATGTCACTACAGAGGAATGTGAAGCACTCCCATGTGTGCTAGCTGGGTAAGCCATCAGCACGGTGGGACCTGCTCCTGAAGCAGCATTCTCACACATTCCTCAGATGACTCCTTGCTACAGTCATTGCAATCATGTACAAAGTATGTATTAGTAGAGGAGGAGGGCAACAGGATACTCATGTCAAATCTGTGAACTCCCACTGCAGCACTGCTGGATTCCTGCTGATACTGTTATCTACATTCAGCAGTAAAACATGACTACACTGCGTATCAGAAAGAGCAAAAATGCATCTCTGATGAGCAATCTTTTTCGTGTCTACTGCTGGAACCAGACAGGGCTAGGCAGACACTTCATCTCTGTCCTTTTTTTTTTTTTTTAAATGGGCATAGAATAGGTGACATTATTAAAATCCTTCACATTCTTTACATTTCTCCTTTTATCCTAGGCTTGGCTTGACAGCTTTGCTCCTGAAAGCAGCAGAAGTCCAGACGGAACCAAACACTAGTGAAGGTTTAATGTGTCCCCTTAATAATCTTTGTACATGTAGAATTAACAGCTATGCAGACTATGTATTAGTGATCATCGTATCATGCACGTGCCAGTGAGATAAACAGGGCACAGCCAAACTGAAAAGCCTGCAGCTTTCTTCCACTCATGTGCTGTTTGATCTGACTTGCGTCTCCACTGCCTTGATCTCATGTACTTATTTGGTGGTAACACGATGGTCCCTTGCAGCAGTAGTGATCTGGCTGTCTTCTGCTCAGTTACAGATTGATTGCTTCTACTCACTGCAGCTTTTTCTATAAAAGTCTCTGAGTTGAGAATTACAAAGAACAGTATTTGTTTTATTTCCATTGGTTTTGTTTTTTTTTTTTAAACTTTGAGTTTTCTTGTTCTGTTCTATCAGAAAAATAACTGATGGAAAATAATTTTACAAATCTTAGTTAACTAAGTAGAAAAAAAGTCTAATTTCACTGATTTCTGAATCCTGGAGAATGGCTAAAGGCAAGGGTACAATCTGACAGGAGACTGATACTGCAAACTTTATATAATGCACAGTCATGCATCAGCAGCAAAGTTGCTTACTAATGTAAGTGACCATATTTGATGATTTATTTAAAATTGGTGTCTCAATACTACACAAAGGAGTAAGCTGTAAAAATATCACCTCATAACCTGACTTCGTTCAAAAAGTTATATAAATACATAAAATCTGCCACTCCTTTTAAAGGAGAGCGATTTCATTTTCGCAGAATTCTGAGTAAGAATATAAAGACCAAGGTATTTCACTAACCTAATAACTGCACTAGATTTGGGTGCTTGATTTCCTTCATCACAGCAGCTTCTTTCAAGAACTCTTCCACCTCCATGGTATCTTCCTAGACGAATAGAAAAGGGAAGATTAATCTTCATGACCAAGGTCTGCTTAACACTACATATTTTAGCTGAATATAAATAATTCTTATCTCTGTTCTGCCGTTTTGCCTTTTACAAAAGCAAAAAAGGGTCTTTAACACCCCTGAAAAGCTAGCCTGCAGCATGGCCAAATGAGAAATCTGCAGTACCCAGAAAGTGTTAGACTCTACCAAGCAGGTAGCTACTGGGGCTACCAAAGCAGCTGTGGCTAATGAGGGGATGACTCTAGGAGTCACTGACTTAGTTTGCCTGTCTAGCTATAAAAATTAAGCTTGCAATCTCCCTTACTTAGGGGGTACCTAGAAGGTAAACATTCAACAATGGTGATGTTCAAACAAACAGAAGACTGAAAATTAATATAAATGGAGATGCTGATTTTTTCCAGAAGTAAGGGAGAGGTAGAACATACTTCCAACACCTTTCATTACTTACAGCTCTTTTGAGGGAAGGGAAGTGGACATGTGGGTAATCATTTCTACAGATCTGACTTGGCCATGCAGTTCCTGCAGGCACTTGCTGGACCAAATTCCAAATTGTTTTTAAGCCACATGCATTGCTGCAAGTTTGACAAGCTAACTTAGCTTGAGCAACCCTCAAGTATGGAATTTATGTAGACCAGTACACTCCATTTTCATATATTTTTATCATTAGGTGGTATAATTGAGAATGCGACAATTTCCTTATCATAAGAGGTTACTAAATGAACAGTGCACAACAATCTGAAAACTCACCTTTAATGTCTTCACAGCAACCGTGAGATTGTATCTTTTCCAGACACCAACGTACACCTCGCCATACTGCCCTCCCCCAAGTTTGTGCTTCATGGTGATGTCAGTCCGCTCCATCTCCCACTTGTCGTGGATGGGGGACACTCCATAGACAGTGGGCTTATTGCACTTCGGTGCTGGGTAATGTAAAGTCGTCACCAGGCCATCAGCTACTGTTGAGTGATGGTGCACTAGCTCGGCTAGTGTGCTGAAACGGCTCTCTGCTGTCACATAAACCTGTTGAGAAAGGTCCAGGAATCTACTTAGTTGAAGGCACCTGAGAACTTTCATTAACACTGGAAAACAGGTACAGTAAAGACATTCTCACGGGTTAAAAACAAAGTAATAGAACCAGATTTTACAATACTTTTTCTCAGTTTGTTTGGGTAGATGAGTATTCCTCCACGGGACTTTTACTTGCAGAAGGAAACGAGATATAGGGGAGGCTAGAGCAGTGCTGACTCCTGCTTTGTGCTTTACAGGACTAGAAACCAGAATTCTTGTAGCCACACCTGAGTCCAGTTTCTACATCTCACAGCACAAAACACTGCCATTTGATCAGGGTTAAAACTGCTGACTCGCCAAAACTCTGCTTGTTCTAAGAAGACCAGTAGAAAGGTATCACCACATCAAAACAAAAACACAATTGCTTTGATCCCCAGTTACTATTTCAGCCATAAAAGTGCAGTTTGCAGTCCTTTGAAAGTGGTGTTGGGTATTACAACCAAAAATGTGTTTTTTTTATACTAATAAGCCAGTGGGCCTTCCTCACACACACTCCTTCTTTAACTAACAGCCTGCAACTTGCAATTCTACACCATCTCTTAATATTTTTATTTCCTTTCCTCACAGCATTGTCCAGAAATCCTTACCTTTCCATCTGAGGTGGTATTGATCCTGTAGTGGTAAACGCGTCCCTCGTACCTGAGCGAGATGGATAGCTGCCCGGGGCTGCTCTCGCTTTCACGAACCAGGAAGCTGCCGTTGATGAGACTGCTCAGCAGATACTCTGCTGCACTGCGTGACACCGGCCCATGGTACCATGAATGTTTTTCCAGGCTGTTCACTGGTGTGATGTAGTTGCTTGGTACCCAGCCCTGCCCATTCTTCGAACGTACCTCGCTCCATTCACCGTTCTGGTTGTAACCCAGGACTCGCAACTTCTCACCTATGAGCAGAAGGAAAAAAGCAGAGTAAGCACGATACAATCTACTGGGTCTCATCGAGTGGGCTGACAGGGAATGTCTCTCTAAGCCTGGGTTTGTAGCTAACAAATAAAAGTCTGCAGCAATGATTTTGTAACTAAATTGCTATATATAAACGGTTTATAATGTAAAGTTTCAGACAGAACTCCTTATGCACTGTTCCTAAATTAGTACTACAGTGTGAATGATCAACTCAAAAACCTTCCCGCCGTCCATGTTTCTGGACTAGAAAGCTGTTTGGTGTTTTTTTTTGGAGGGATGAGGTTTGTGTCCATCTTAATAGCATTTAATAAATAATTTATATAAATACAGATATAAAAATGGCATTTCATTTTTTACCAGTTGTGCAGCAGGGCATATTCTTATATACATACTGAACAGAAAATCTCTGTGCCATTCTTAATTCTTGATTTTGCTCCAGCTGAAAGTGCTGTGTTCTGTTTTTGCCAGTAATGTAAAGGTTTTCCCAAAATAGGTGTCTCATGTGACTAGTGATCTGGGGAGCCTGGATGTAGCTGCGATAGATTGTTTGGTATTATACGAAGCTGTATCTGTACTAGAACTGCCCAGCAGGTGTCGCTCCAACACAAGTGAGAGAGGGAGTGTGCTTGTAATCCATCAGTTTAGAGAGCAACCTTCTCTAGCTGCACTCGTTCTGTTAAACGGAACAGAAGAGGATTTCTGTTTTCTATTTTCTCTTGCTAAGTTTACAGCCTAGTAGCTGCCGTGTGATTCGAGCCTTACCTTTGGTGATACTGAGCGTGTTGTCACCGCTTGCTACAAAATCATAAAGTGCAACAAAGAGGTTGGGATCGCTCTCAGTGGCTCCAAGCAGGTTCTCCTTGGAGCTCCACCTGATGGCTTCGTTCAGTGCCTGGGGTTCAACATCGCAACCATAGGGGCGGTGCAGGGCCTCTGAAGAAAGGACAAAAGAGGAAATTACTTTGTGTGCAACTGTAAATAAATCAAAACCCAGTGTGCAGCAGAGCAAAGCTGCTACTGCACAATAAGCCCTTTATGGAAAGGGAGCACAACGCGTGCACGTCTTAGATCAGAGGTTAGTGCTAAAAGGAGACTAGAGAAGATGATTAACTTCATAGATAGTAAATAGCAAGCTGTGTACAAAATGTTTATACTAAATGTTTATTCTATTATTTTAATTACATACACATGTAATTAAAAGCTTTTAGGTATTCACAGACAGAACAATGGAGGAGAAATTAGAAGTGCTTTTTCGATGTGAAGTAGTGAAGGAATCCTTTTCAAGATGGAAATGTCGTGTTTGTCATCTTTGTTGTTTCTGTGGCTTGGATTTGAAAGCAAAATTAGAAATAGAGGTAAGACAGACTGAATTATGACACATAATATGCAATAGTAACTGATTCAGTATGAGTGGAAATGACAGTGATTTGTGATACATTTCAAGACTATGCAAATAAGAAGGTGGAAAGCAGACAGGGCAGAAAGTAGTGAGGACGATGCTAAGCATTTAGCAACAGTGTTCCAAGGCAATTCTGTTTTTCTGTTTCAAATTAAAATGGATGCATACTTGTTAGTAAAAGGGAGTGGGAAGAAGAATCAGTCTTGAATTTGTTTTACAGACAAAAGTAAAAAAAAAAAAGTTCCTGTGATGATGAAAAGTAATCCAAATATACAAGGTTTTGTAAAGAACTAAAGTAAAAAGCAAAAGTATCTGAACACTTACTGGTTGTACTGTGGTTAAAAAAAAAAAAAAAAAAAGAGTGTCAAGACCATCATTGGCTTTCTAATTCATAGTGGGGTTTTCCAGGAACATGTAGCCCATTAAATTTCAATGTTAGGACACAAGAAAGAGCCAAGATGTAGTTTCATACATGTGGGATGCTCAAGGGGGCAAAAACATGAAAGGGTAACAAAGTAATAAGTATTTCCTCTAAAGGCACAACTGACATACATTCCTGCCCCACAGCCTCTTGTTGAACTTGGGTTTGAAACCATATTATAAACAGGCTTTGCCCATTTCTGTGGGTCTGGGAAGTCAGGCACAGGATATTTTTAAGCAGACCACTACAGGAGAACATGTGCATGTAACTACACCCCCTACACACACACGTTCTCATGAGATCTACATTTGTGAGCGATAACTAGTCTGTAAGGCACTGTAAGAGAACAAAGAGCCCAAATGCAACGTAGGAGAGGAATACTGGGAAGTCAGTGAGACACAAAACAGGAAGAGGCCTATGCCAAGCAATAGGCAAACACAGGCCAAATCTGTGCACGTGACAGAGCTCAAGTCTGGAAAACTAGAACGTCAGGGGTGTTTCCTAGAGTCCACGTTCAATTTTTTTTAAGCTATATGTACGTGAGAAAGGAAATGGCTGAGGTTTGTTCTGGCTTGTTCTTAAACACAAGTGGATTTTGACTTCATTTCTGGTAATCACTCGGGGTTATACTGCTGGCGTAACCCGCTCATCATGCAATTACTGAACTCTTGCCTCCCAGCCTTGCCAAAGTAGCACCCATCAAGGTTCTCCTACCAAGAACAGAAGTAAACAGAGACTAAGCTACCAAAATATCCCTTCTTTAATTTCAGTTTCTGCAGATGCGGTACTTAGACACGCTTCTTGTTGCTAGCTATCAACTGCAGTTAGTTTTACAACATACTGACCTATCAGATAAAGAGTCTAGGAGGACTGGTGCTCTCATGGAGAAGAGAGGAAATACCAGTGCCTGCCCTGCTACCTACACACAGCGTGGCTGCCAACTTACTGCTGCATTTGTTTTAGGGCTGGCTGTGTGCATATGCAGTTATTAAGCATCAGGAACAGATGAAATGGCAAGAGAAAAGAACAGTGGTTCCTAAATCCAGCTCTCTTTACGCAGTACAAACACATCTTAATTAAATAAGATATTCTTTACATGCCTCCAATGACTTGTGTTAGAAAAAGAGAGGGGTTTGGTGCCTTAAGCTAAGTCACTCAGCAAGTCTGCTATCCAGAAGAGCTGAGTTACGTCTCTGCTAGCCATAAGCAGCAAACACAAAAGCTGGCAGTGTTTCCAAAAAAAATATCCTGACCTTTCAGCTCCAGAATACCTTAATGCTGTTTGAATAACTTCCTACTTTCAATTATACATCTGCTGAAACGGCAAAGGCCTTAAACAAAAATATATGCATTTGCTTTATTGCATAACCAACGTATAGTTTTTCTTTTTTGAGCCACAGCAGCTCAGGAACTGAGCATCCAACCCCCTTCTAAGCAGGACCACAGAGCTAAGCATTTAGTCGTGTACTCAGTGGCAAGCCCCGTGTCAGCCCCAATCCTGAGCTGCTGCAGCAAATCCCCCGGCCAGTCCAACACCAGGCACTTCAGCCAAGGCAAAGCGTGCAGAAGTGGCACCTGCTGCTCAGCGCTGAGCAGCTCTGCCCACGTGAAACCATTTGTGGTGCTGTGCTGGACTGCCAGCTGGGATTCAAAGCAGATGTAGGGACTTCCACCACTTCCTTGGGAATGCCTGGGAGGTTGGTACGTGTTCTCAACACCCACGTCATGTACAGAAAAAGCCTGCAGAAGTTAATGTTTGATGAGGAGCTTCAATCACTTAGCTACAGCGCTTACCTAGAAATCCCATTACCTAAAAATCAACTGCTTTTAAGAGTTGATGTCTCACTAACTTCCCGAACTCTGATTTTTTAGAGTGACTCAGCTGCCCAAGTAGCAGTAAGGTAAACCAGTATCAACCAAAGGGGCATTTCCCTATTGCAGGTTGCCATTAAGAAATAACCTGTGCTGCTCATACAGCATGGGATCTATACCATCCAATATGCAAGGATAAGAAAGGAGAGTTAAATGTGATAATCGCATAGACCTCAATGAGGAAACCACGATAAGCGAAGCGTATCACAAATGATGCCCTTCAAACCAAAGAGTCTGTGAGCTCTATTCACACCCAGTGAGGAAATGAGCTGGGAAGTCCTGTTCTGTACCAGCTCCTTTGGAAGCCTAACCATAAATCATACGTGACCACTTTCATTTCCTAGACAATTGGAAACTTACATCATCATTTAGCGCAAAGTAAGAAATGCATGATCAAGCAAGGATGTTATGCTTCACCCACCTCCTTCCTTTTCTGTATTCCCACAATACAAATTGCTTCTCTCCAGACACGAATGCTTTTCCTATTCAGCCAACACGTAAGAGGCGTTTTGCCTCCCACCCTCTGCCACCGAGGCTACTGTTACCAATCTCTTCAGCTCAAGTGCAGGGCAAGTCTTTTAAATGCTAAATCTTCAACTTCAGAACCACATCAGGTGCTGGTAGTCTTTTTTTGTTCTGAAACACTGACTCTGTAACTGCTCATAAAAGCAGAGCACTTTAAATAATCCTCAAACCTGGATAAAAGCAGGCAACCTCAGTCCTGCCTGCACCCAGTCTTGTACTACAAGACAAAGACTTGAAAGGCCCCACGTCCTCCTTTAAGCTCGCTGAGTACTGCAGGAAAGGGATGGCACAGTGTAACATCCCTACGTGTCCTACCTGTGAAACTCGACACACCGGGCTCAGAGGCTTCATCGCCAAGGCAGCAGAGCAGCTTGCTCTCTTTGCCATAGCTGCTAGACTGGAACAGGACGGTCCCCACGATCATGCTGCTGCCTCACAGCAGGCAGAAGGCTGACACGAGAAGTCCTGGACTGCCCGCACAAACGCCACCACGTGCAGGCGATCACTGCTCGCAGCGCTGGTGGCCAATGGAAAAGCAAGCACTGCCGAGCGGGTGAGGAAAAACTAGGGAAATCGAGCTGCGGGTTACTGGGTTACCAGCTGGAAGTAAGGGTGGAGCTTCCCACGAAACGCTGAACAAACAAAGGATGTGGGGACCGGGCTGCGAGTTGAAACGCTTTTGAGATGAGCTATAGACAGAATATTGTGCCGCTAAGAGTTAGGCAACAAAGTGTTTGGAATAAAATAAATCGTTTCCTTGGAGAAGTTCCTTTGCACAAATTACAAAACAGATCACCCATTACGGGGACCGCCCAGATTGATTCATTTTTCCACTCCACATAAATGCCATTATTTATGAATCAACAGGAAACAACATGAATGAAAATATAAGTCTAGGAGCTGTATGAGCAATGAAAGAGTAAACTGTTACATATTTTAGGATTTCAGAAAGAAACCGAAAGCAAGAGCTGTACAGTATGCCCAGGCTGAGCTGCACATTTAATGATTTAATAGTGTTCAGGTCAGCTCTGTGAAAGGACGCTATCAATTACCTTTCAAAAACCTAAGCTCTCTTTGATGAATTCTTTAAAAGACTTGGTTTTCTAGCTACATTTGTATGGTTTGCAGCAGGCCAGGTTCCTCCTAACATGTGGAGGGGGAAGGGTTAAAGAACAAGCACTCACCATGGTAGTCTCACACCTGGGAGGCTGGTGGGCTGCAGAGGGGTATAAAAGGGAGCAGGGAAGGGGAAGCAAGTGGTTTGGCCTCTGGGAGGGGGAGAGAGGCTGTTGCAGCCCACCAGCATCTCTAAATCTGCAGACTCCACTGCTACGTGAGAAAGGCAGCCGCAGCACGTGAGGAGGACAGAGCTTTGACTAAAGGTAAGAAACTGAGCAACCGGGTTTGTTATAAGCGTTTGTGTTGTGCAAGGCTGTGAATGAGAAAAGGCATTCCAAAAAAAAAACAAAAACAAAAACCCACAGATGTGCTGTGGTGACAAGGAGTTACTTCTCCCTGTGTGGCCTGTACCAAGAATTTTGTGCCTCCACCATCACCTAATGCAAGTGGAAAAACATAGCCAAAGGAAGTACCTTCGGACAGGAACATGCCATTATCTTCCAGAAGTTCAGACAACTGGGTGACCTTTCCTCCTTCTCCAAAATGAGGCTTGGTGAACCTTGCAGCATGCTATCCAATACTCAGGTTTACTTAGGAGTCTCTAGGCTATCTTTTTCCCCATTTGTTTTTCTCTTGCAGTTTGTTTTCTACTCTCTTTTATGTGCTCTGGATGCCTTCAGTCACACTGGTATTTCAAGCAGTCTTAGTGTATCTGTTGATACACAAAGAATAGGCAGAATTTGTAGGGCAAGGCAGCATAGCCTGAGAAAAATGGAGATGAGCTTTGCTACAAACAGACTGTCCAGGTGGGTCTGCAATAGCATCAGCAAATGTCAATTAGTATTAGCTGTAATAATTAAGCAAGGGAACAAACAATTTGCTTGTTAGTTAAAGTATATCAGATGAGTAACCAATATCTCTGGAACAATGAAGGATTAGGGGAAAGCTGAGCTAAATGAAAAAGGTAGCTTGCAAACCAGTGCATTGAATGTGTTACTTTTAGCCCCCCTCGCTGAGTGTTGGTGCCCTGTGACTGTCAGGCCTGTTAAAGAGCTCCCGATGGCCATCAGCTGGTGCCACCAGTGGCGTGGGAAGGACAGGGGTGTCCCTGCACAGTGCCTGGATGTTTGTAAGGTCCTGTCATGTGCACCCAGGCAGAGTAAATTCAGGCTTCTTCCTAACCTCTGGACGAGCGCTATTTCTTCTACAATTGATTTCCTAGACAGTTATTCTACCCTGTAGGCCGTTACCTTGACATTTGCATCCACCACGACAAGCTTCCTGTTCCTATTCCCTTGGCTGTCAATGGACGAGCCAGGCTCTTCGTCCTGGTACACTCAGCTTCCTCGGTGGAAGAAGCAACCTTTCAGGCAGAACAGCTCTTCAGACTATTCCCTGTGGTGCCCTTCAAAGCTGTTTCCTGAGAGTGGTTACCCTTCCTGTACCACTTAAATCATCCCTTTTGAAGTATTTCTCTATTTTTTTTCCAGCAATGGGGAAAAGTTAAGTACAAGGAAATCTTGCTGACTACACTACTTTGAAGTGTATAGTTCAAGCAGCTTCAAAAAAAAAAACAAAAAAAAAAAACAACACAAACCCTTGCTCCATTTTGAATTTATGAACCCACTGTCAATGTTTCTTCATCAAACAAAAGAACGTGCAAAGAGCAATACAGCCCTGGAAAGGATCTGGGACTGCTGGCAGCAGCCCAAAGTGACTGGTTTTTCAATAGAAGGAAGAGAGACAAAGAAAGGGTTATAGGGTAAATGCTGATTATTACATACAGTGTCAATTTGATATATTATTTTACACCAAAAACAATACTGTGTGGGTGTGTGTGTACATATATATTTAATACAAAGGGACACTTTAATATAAGGTCACCAAGACCCCTGTACATACCACATCTTTTACTCTATTTCCACTTGGGGTTTTCAAACTAAATATCCGTATAAATATCCACACTATTACTTTACACAAAGACTTATTTTATGTGCTAGCTTCAAAGACTACCAAAGAATAGGCATTGGTCAACTCGGAGTGTAGGAAATAGGCTGTCACGTAACAACCGGTGGCTCCTGGTGTAACTGGCATTTCCCACCGAATCCTCCAAATGTACATCACCTTACACACTAGACTGTAAGAATTTCAACCAGCTTGTTAGTGGGAGGCTTTCTGCCTTAACGAGGAAACAAAATTGATAACACAGCAGCGAGTGGGTTTCCTATTTTGCTGACATGATTGGAACAGGATCAAGTTTTTCAGAAACAAGGCTACCGTAGCCAAGTCTCAGTGCTTCCTACTACCAAAAATACCCCGTGCTAAGGAGCAAACCAGTGCTGAGCAGGCCAAGTCACTGCTGTCTAATAATGTGGTAGCACAGAAGCAGACCTCTGAACTCTCCTTGCCCTATTACCAGACTTGAGGCCTGACCTCAACAGACCACCTAGTCTTTCTGCTGACACACGTGTGGCCATGCAAAACAACAGCTTAGAGGGATTCAGACAGCTCCCAGATGGCTCTGGTGAAATAGAGGCAGCCTGACTGAATGCTGTTCCTAGGTGTTCCTCTCCTGTAAGCAACCAGACTCTTAATAACGTGGTTTGCTTGAGCTCAGCACAGATCCATAGTTAGTCTTTGGGCCTCCCACAGAGTGGTGCAAGGTTTAAGTACCGTAAACAACCCACTGAATAAAGCCAAGAAATACAGCTCCGAGCCAAGAGCTTGGGATGGGCAAGGAATAGGTTTCTATTTATGGTCCCAGGCTGAGAGAGACAGAATGGGAGGAGACTTCAGAGAGACAAAGTTGCATCATGTTCACACCAGGTTTCAAACCAAGCTGGTAGTGACTTCTTATCTTAATTATCAATACATAACTGAGGAGTGAAATATATGGAGAAGCCCAAAACTCCCCATATAGCTCACCTCTTAAGAACAGATTTACTTTGAACATGTGCTGCACGAGGTATTCCCCTGCAGTTATTTCTTGGTGAAAGTGGTGGGTCCTTACACAGTAGTGCTTTTGGGCTAGTTTGATATGAAAATCCCAATGAAGGCAAGGTTTGGGTATTTGATATCACTGAATGGAAGTAACTGGTGGAAAGAGAGAGACATCAACCTCAGCTAATTATACCACTATGAAAAATTCAAGATCTTGTCACGTCTAGCTAACCATTAAAAGAGAAAACACAGATGCTGAATGAAAGAACTGCCTGTCCTCTGTTTCGCTAGTTCCAGTTATCCTCTCCACTTGTTATTAATGCTATCAAACACCCCGAGGTGCCCATCAGCCCGTTTCCCTGCTCAGATGTTAGTGACACACATGGTATGCCGTTCTTCTCCTCCATAATCACCTAATGTAGAACTTCCCCACTTTCTCTCCACTTCTTGGTAAAGTGTTACTTTGGTACAGAATCCAGAATGAAATAAATCAAGCTTAAGTTCCGAAGTATTAATTGAAAAATTTCATCCATTCCTTGCTAAATGCAAGATGCACGAATCTCTTCATAGATCATCAGCTGTATAGGCTGTAAGGGACTGAACCTTCTGCTGAAAACTGCAATGCTATAAAATGCTTAAGTGATTTCAAAGCAGATGAGTATCAGTCATCTTCAGTACAAATGCTAACTCAACAGATTGGCTCTTACTACCTTGATAATTTCTTGTCCTTGTGGAACTCTGGCAGGAAGGTGACTTTGGGACAAACACAGCTAGCAAAATGATGCAGGTTTTTAAATGCATTTAGAAATGCTTTAAGGTGAGGAACTCATGTGATCACAGGAGAGCTGGACCTAGCATCAATTTAACGAAAGAGGCACAATCGACCTGACCACAGGAACTGGGAACAGTCAGAGGCAACACAACTCAAAGCACAAATCTGACTTTTTTTGAGCATGCCTCTGGGTAAGGAAGCAAAACCAAACAGTATGTCAGATAAAAACACTCTCCTGCAGTGGGAAAGATTTTAATGCAATTGAAAGTGACAGACAAAGTGGGATTTTAGAATGAAAAACTATCCATGAAACCTTTCACAGATCCTGAATACTTTATCAAAATGTTTGTTACCTGAATTTCCAAGGATTTGTTTAGCTCCTGTAAAGCTAGTTAGCTTTGCAATTGCTGGTATCTAGAAACAAGCGAAGAGACCCCCACCTTTAGGTGCTCTGTATTACGTACCTCCTTCCATTCAGTACAATCAAGTCCCAATCTTTGTTCCTCTGAATCCTGCCTAGAGTGGACTACAACTACTGCCACAACGATAGTTTCAGGGAAAGGGGTGCTATGAAGAGGCACGAGCCAAGGTAACTGGGAAACTGCATACATGTAAATCAAAAATTTACTTGATATCCTTAGTAGCGGTAAGTTCCAGTAAACCTCTCCAGTATAAAGAGTAAGGATTAGGTCATGCAGTCCTTCTCCAGGAAAGGTGGGATGGCCAAACATTATGACAGCTCACAGCAAGTCATTTAGCTTTCTTTTTAAGCACTACTTTGGGAGAGAAGTTGCTTAATGTGGATTATACTTCACTCCAACGGAATTCCTGAGGAGTCAGTAATACTGGCCAGATCAAAGTCAAGGCATTATCTACTTCTAAGAAAAAGAAATGAATTGCTATTTATTCACACAGTGTTAGGACAAACATTTGAAGAGCTCTTCTGCAAAAAGACTACTTAAAGAATCGTGGTTCAACTGACCCCACAGCAAGCCAGAAATACCTACAGTAACAACGTGTAGCTGGCGAGAGGTTTATTTTGCAGATGTAAAGCAACTGATCAGACCTTTGAGTTAACATGACATAAATGTCCAAGCTGCTTTCCAAGTGACATAATTACTTCTAATAAGAAGTCCTACAGTATTGGGAACTCTCCTTAGACTCAGCACCTGGAACAATGACCGCATTAATCTATTTCTCAGCTGGCTTTTTGAAATTTATTTTTAGCCTTTCTAGCTAGAGGGAAAACTTGGGATGGAGAGGGTAGAGTCTAACTCACTGACTTGTAATCTCAAGAGTCAAAGAACGTGCCAATCCAACAGCCCAAACTTGAGCTGATGTCACAACTTGAGGCCCAGGTAGTTATTTTTGCCTTGGACAGGCAGCACTACTTACCTTCTGGAGGGTATTCGGAGGGTAGAGCTCCCCAGGTGAGCTGATACAGCTTCAGTTTCCAGTACATGAGTTTAATTTTTTAATGCAATCCCAAAATGCTTGTTAGCACAGATGCGACTTCTCAGTTCCATCCACCCACACTGAATATGCAGCAACTGCCAAAGCTACACAGCCTGAAGTACTTCTGTCTTAAACAAAATTCTCTAGCTAAAAATAAATCACAAAGCTGTCAACCTCAATTGTCAGCAACCAAGACGCTGTTCAAGCAATTGTCCAAGCCATTTTCTTCTCTTAAACAAAAAAGAGTTTTCCTTCTTAAAATATTTACTTCACTTGACTAAAACACTCTTGTGATCTTGTCTCCTTGAAATACATACACCTTAGAAAATAAACCAGCGTTTCCTTTTATCCAAGAAAATCCCAGCTTGAGCATGAATACTTGCCCAACTTCAGCACCAGGGAAGACTCTTAATATGGATTCTCATTAGGAGAGCCCCAGTCTGAGTTTCAGCTAAGCCCTGGCTGAGGGAGCTTTAGTTGTTTTGCTCCTTCTCGGTCATATGGGCTGATTCACTTTCGTATGGGGCAGCGTAAATACACATGGATGAAGTCAGAAACACATCCATCACACTAAACTTAGTTACTGGCTGCTGCTCCACTTCCTGTTGGCTAAACCCAGACACTTGTAATTGGCTCTGCTGACCAGACAAGGGACTCCATTCACCAGTGCTATTTCCAACAGCTGCTAAATAACCAGGGTAACACAACCCCAGCCTCAGCCATAGAATTCCTAGCTCAGTTCAGATGGCTTTTCAGTTTCAGCCTGTGCCACTACGTTTGCTTTTTCAGATCTCCTAACAGCATTGTTTAGACCTTGTGTGTAGCTTATTAAAACAAGAATATACTCAAATAATTTCTGAAGATCCTTTCTGGGTTATGGCAGAATTAATACAGTTTTGAAGGAAAAGAGTCAGTAGGAAGACTGAGCACATCCAATACTCATTATCTAAAAGTAATCAAAGCTACAAAAAGTCACTGATTGAATTGCTGGTGTATTAATAAAATAATCAGTTTCCTTACAAAAGATAAAGGCAAATTAATGAAGTACTATGATTAAGTATAACTGAAGTTTGTAAGGGATATTATTCAGGAGAGATCTGGTATTTTTAGACAATTATAAAAGCTTTAAAATAAAGGTAATACTAGCCAATCTATTCAACTTGAAGGAACTTGATGCAGCTAAGATACAAATGTGTATTTTATGTATGTGCACTTCTGTAGAGGTAGCATCTGCTGTAAAGTTAGGCACCAACTTGATGACTTTTTCTTAATAAGAAGCCCAGGTACTTCTTGATTATTAACATCAAGCTACACCACATTCATAGGAATTGAGACAGGAAAAGCAAGTTCTGCCTCTCGGATTTACCAGAACACTTCAGGATGTCCACACAAGTCAGCTAGCTGCCAAGTGGGATTCTTCAGCCATGTAACAGCCACGCTGGGTCACATCACCCAGCATCCTGCTTTGTGATTGCCAACAGGCCGCTGGAAAAAGGCTAATGATATTACTCCACAACACTTCCCAAACATTCAACATGTTGCATTTCAAGGTTAACAACGACAGGGGAAGGGACTAATGCTGCTTTTGCCCCTCAAAATGCAGAAGCTTTTGAGCTTAAAAAGAACAAGCCTTCTTTTGGCTTATTGATAAAGTTCAATAGTGCTACTCCTCCAGTTTGAACCAAATCTATTCTTTTTCATTTGTTGCTTTGAGGTTCTTGAACTGAAGTGTGAAATGATAGGCAGTATCCACTTCTAAAACAGACCCAGCAACCAGAAGCAGCAAGAATGATTTAATTCTGTCACTTGCCTGCCACACAATTACATGACTAACTTCTGTTCAGAGGGTAAAACAACAACTCCATGTTGACACAGCCCGGGAATAAGACCCACTGCTAGTTATTTAAAGAGCCTTCCTCCCACTTAATGCTGGCAGTGCTGTCAGACCTCCCTCCTGCTGCCAGTATTTGTGGTGGCATGACTGGGATGCTCAGAGGATTGGGCACTATCTTGTCAGTAGTTTTTAACTGACTGCTATTCTGTCCTCCATAACTGCTTTTGTGCCACCTCTCCAAACGGTTAATTTACTCTATTTACTGTGTGCATACTGAGGGAGGAAGGAAGAGGGAAAGGGCTGGAAATTCCCAATGGGAGGTCAACGTTGCGGCCTGCTCAGCAGTTCATTTCCTCTCGCTCTGTAAAGCGCTGGTTAGCTCCTGAATTGCATCCATCTACAACATCAGGTCTGTAACGGGCTTTTCTGGAGAGACAGGGAATAGAGCACATCGTGAACTGGGAGGATGAACCAGTACTACCCTGCCTCCTGTGGCACTGAGAAGTTCATCCACCAGCAGCAATGGTAGCAGTGGCAAGTAGGAACACAAGCTGCCAATTTGATATGAATTATTACTGATACTGGGCATGCAGCAACAAAAGCAAAAACGTGACCTTGTGTGAGTCGTGCAGCAGAGAAATCAAACCCAGTAGCTGAAAGGAGTACCCCCAGCCCACAGGAGGACTGCTGTCTGTACTCTATCACATCAAACAGTGGGGAAATTAATTAAAGTACAACATGATTTAACCTAAGGTAGAAAATAAGATCTGACAACAGAACTTCAGCTGCCTTCAGTTTCCTGGCCAGGTTTCTGCCAGTTGTGCCATACAGCTTTGAGGCTGATATGTAAAACTGCTTCTTCATTTAGGAGTTCTATGAAATGTAAATTTTGAGCTGGGATTAAGACCAACGTCTGTGCCATCCAGAAGGGAACTTGCATGGAGTGTCCCTGCATCTTCTGGGTTGAGTGGCCAAGAAAAGTTTCCTTTATCTTCTTAAATTAAGATTTTTTCAAATTTGACAGAGTTCCACCTCATTCCTTCCTCCTCCCACTCCACTGAAAAACATTCCCAGTTGTTGCTGGCCTGTATAGGTTGTCAGGACAGCTGACTGCTTGGATTACACAGGGCTGTATTGTATCCCTTCAAGAACCAGCCACCCTAAGTGCTTCCTTTGGGATCAGGGCTCACTACTGGGCGGATAGCAGCACGCCAGGTGCTGTCTTGAAATTGGACATTCCAAGGCAACAGGCAGTCCTGCAACTGCTTCCCAAAATCATTCTTCCTCTTGAGCCTCTTTAATACAAACCTACTCCAAATCAGATGTCTGAGTAACAAAAAACACTGAATGTAAACTCATCTGGCTTTGCCTTTTAAAATGGAGGGACAAAATTCTGCCTTAGACTTTTTGTCCAGGTACTGGAAACTAAAGCAGTTCTGGCTTTTGGTAGCTAGGGAGAAGATATTTTCAGTTACATTTCTACTACTTGCAACAGTTATCTATGGCAATCCTGCATTTCTTTTTTTTTTTTTTCCCCCAAAATTAACTGTGACCCTCCTCAGTGCAGTAGTTAAAGCAGAACATTTTCTATCCCATGCAGATAGCTTCCATAGATCGAGGCTTTTCTATCTCATCTTTATGGAGACCTCTTAGAGCTGCTGCAGGCTTGTTGAGATGTCATTGTGTTATAAAAATGTAACCCCTGCCTTTTAAGGCATTTATTTGAATTCCATGCTGTTTGGATGTTTTAACTAACTCCCAAATTTCTTGGAAAAAGTACCTCTGAGGTAACTACAAGGCATGCTGCGGGTGAAGAACTCTCCAAGCAATGCAGCATCCAGCAGCAGATACAATTAACTTGAGATTGAAAGCTGCTGCACCATGTAGGCTTCAAATGGGTCTCTCAGGTCAGGAAGACTTCAGAGAACCAGAAGCTAGCTAATATTTGAAAGCTAATTGAAGGGTCTTTAGAATTAATGGCACGTTTCCTGCTCATCAACATCATTGCCAGAAAGCCTCCCCATTGCCTTCAAGCTGCTTTAAGCACTTAAAGCCAAGATGACTGTGCTGCACGAGGTGCTTAGGAGTAACAACTTCCTGGATAGGTTACAGAACTGAGCCAAAACTGTCAAAAACAGTGAGGGAAGTGAGGCGAGGAAAGATATTTATATGACCATATTATTACTTTCAGATCTTAATCTCTCACTATCTAAAATAAATTATATAAGCATAACAATGTTAAATTTTTATACAGCCCGCATAGTCAGTCCCTGGAGAAACCAAACCAAGAGCTGAAATTCAGAAACCTAGGAGCACTCAGCACACTTAAGCACTTTCACCAAGGATGCTGAAGCTGCTGCATGAAGGAGCAGCAGAAATTCTGGGGCAATCACCCCTTAAGGTTACGCTTTCACCACGAAGAGCAGATTGCCTGTGACCAAAAAGTGAAATCCCCCTGAAGCACCCATAAAGGCAGAGTGAAGTACCCATGAAGAAAACAGCAGATAAATTCAGCACTGAAATACAAAGATTAGAGCATCACAAATACCCATGTCATGAATAGCAGAGACCTGTGTGGAGTCTGAAATATTTTTCACTCAAAAGACCCTTAGTTTAAACACGCAGGGTCACACCTCAGGGTCTGAAGCTGGAAAAGCTGAGTAATGGCATACATCAACTTGTCACATCAAATACATCAAACAATCGGCCCTCAGCAGGACTGACTAACTAGGTCGCTATGTGCTTTTATTAGTAATATCAAGTGTGACTGTTCAGTCAAAAAGCTACACCAGGAATTTGGTCTGATTAAAATGCAGAATATTACTAGTGCAAGAACTTAATTTCTAATTACTACAGAAACTAGACTAACAGATTTGTTCACAGAACTGAGGGGTTTTTTTGGCAGAAAAATTGGTCAGATAATCCATTTGTTTATCCTACTTCAAGTTCACACCTAACTCATCTTGAAGGACAGCCAGTCTCTTCCTTCAGCTGTCAATCTCACCAGCTCAATTACAGCAATGAAGAGCTGCTGCCCACGGGCACTGCGTTGTAGCCAGCTTTTCATTACAGGCATACATGTGTAGCACTGCAGAAAGTCATTAGAGCTAAGAACTTAACAAGCACAAACATAAAAAAAAAATAAATTAAACCAGGTAAGAGGTATCCCTATTCCTAGAAACTTGGAGGAGTAGCCTTAGAAGAAATGCTGCCTTTCACTCTTGAAGTATGAGTTAATTCACTTCTGAATTTCAGAGTTAAAGGACATTATTTAAGGGGCTTGTTTCAGATAGCAACTTTGCTAAAGAGATGCAATGCTAATAAGGTCTATTAGATTTTTTTTTTTTAAGTCATCCTAAACCCAACTCACAAAGCTCTCCCCCAGGCACAAGAGACAAAACCACTGTACTTGTTTTCTCTGGTTTTGAGGGTGCAGGCTGACCATTTGGCTATGTTTACTTCCAAGATTGAGTATTTCTTGCATCAGTTTCAAATTCCATCCATTTTATAAAATAAGACAACTATTCTTACTTTGAAAATCCTCATTGCAACTTCTGAAAATTATGTAACTGAATGTTGTGAAGAGATTATTTATAACGGACTTCATATGGCTGGTATTGCCACAGTTGGCCCCGTTAGGGTGAAATTACAATTGACAATAGATGCCTACTAACAGCAGGA